AAGACTGAAGAGTACAATTTGCCACTTTGCCTGGCGTATGTGGACTATGAGAAAGCCTTTGATTCCGTCGAAATTTGGACGGTGCTGCAGTCCCTTCAGCGGTGCCAAGTTGACTGTCGGTATATCGAAGTGCTGAAGTGTTTGTACAGTAGGGCTACGATGGCTATCCGAGTACAGAACCAGAGCTCGAAACCTATCCAACTGCAGAGAGGTGTAAGACAGGGTGACGTTATATCCCCGAAACTCTTCACCGCTGCTTTGGAAGACGTTTTCAAGCTACTGGACTGGAAAGGATACGGTATTAATATCAATGGCGAGTACATCACTCACCTTCGATTTGCCGACGATATAGTCCTTATGGCAGAATCGCTGGAGGACTTAAGCACTATGCTCAATGACCTCAATAGTGCCTCCCAACGGATAGGTCTTAAGATGAACATGGACAAAACAAAGATCATGTTTAATGTCCATGTCACACCTATGCCGGTAGTTGTTGGGAGCACTATGCTCGAAGTTGTTGACGAGTACGTTTACCTGGGACAAATAGTCCGACTAGGTAAGTCCAACTTCGACCGAGAGGTCAATCGACGGATTCAACTCGGCTGGGCAGCGTTCGGGAAATTACGATACATCTTCTCGTCAGGTATACCTCAATCTCTGAAAACTAAAGTGTACAACCAGTGCGTGTTGCCAGTGATGACTTACGGATCAGAGACGTGGTCCTTCACTGCTGGCCGTATGAGGACGCTCAAGGTCGCTCCGCGAGCTATGGAGAGGGCTATGCTCGGAGTTTCTCTGCGTGATAGACTCAGAAATGAGGATATCCGCAGTAAAACCAGAGTGACCGACATAGCCCAACGGATTAGTATGCTGAAGTGGCAATGGGCCGGCCATATAGCTCGAAGAACCGATAACCGATGGGGAAGAAAGGTTCTCGAGTGGCAGCCTCGTACCGGTAGGCGTAGTGTAGGGCGACCCCCCACTAGATGGAGTGACGACTTGGTAAGATATGCAGGAAGTCGATGGATGCAGGTGGCTCAGGACCGTGCTTTGTGGCATTACTTGGGGGAGGCCTATGTTCAGCAGTGGACTTGTGAAGGGCTGTGATGATGATGATGATGAACATAATTAGATAATACAACAAATTAATTGAGAATGAGTGAGGAGACTCACAGATTACCTGAGGAGACTAAGTGTTACGTACATACTTGCCGACTTTATGATGATGTTGAACAATTCCAAGTCTAGTAGACTGTGGAAAACACGCTGTAACTAATGCTTAAACACCTCCCAACATCCTATTTTATACCCTAAATTATAAGACTAAGCCCACATGAAAGTATTTTCATTTGCCATCTTTTTAAAATAAAGAAATATTCCATTTGGTAACTTTAGTATTGATCCGTATTTATGTAACTCATAGGGAATATTATTGCTTATTAACATTCAAAATCTTGTTTGCACACGATACTACACCGACGCTTTGCTGACAATGCAATCGCATAACACCGGCGGCGCCGCTAAGTCGCTGTAATTAGACACGAAGTTATTGTAAGAGTAAACGTGTGTATCTCATACTAATACGGAATGGATCAACATATAGCGGTCGATGTACTTATTAAATTTAGATCCATTATAAATATATCTTTGTTCAAAAATTAATACTTTTTTATGTTAGATGTCTTTCGGATGTTTGTTACTCAATCATAATATAATGGCTGAACGATATAGATGAAATTAAAAAAAAAAAGAATATTAACAATGCTATAAACATTACTAATATTCCCCTTAACCACTCGTGGTAAGCTTAAATTGCTTGTGTTACGCGTGGTTCACGCCAGTAATCGAATGGCGGATTCGAACCCACAGACACGACCTTTTTGAGTCCGCGCTCTGCCATTATGCTACTGTCGCTTTAATAAAGACAGATTGTCGAAAAAAAAACACATACGCTACTTTTTATCCTAGAATTAATATTATGAATGTGATTTGATAAGATATCTCTAGGAAGAATATGGTCTGGAATAACACATAGGTATTTGTTGTAAAAGCGTTTACATTGCCCTATAAATGAATTACTAATTCTGTGGAGTAACTGGTACTACAAGCTTATGTTTGTTCCTAGTGTTTAAAGTATGAACATCTTTATTGTTATGAAAGCTATTTATGTTTTTATGTGTACATACATTACATTATTATAAATATATTGCGATGCTAAAATTAATATGTTTATTTCCTCATTTTTTCTCTAAGGGACTCTTTACAATTTAACTTATAAATCGCCGCCGTTTCTTTTGCTAAGGAAATATGACTTCAATGTCAGTCGAATAACCCATAGTAAGATTCCATAAGATATTACGCTGTGAAAGTAACAAAGTGGAAAAGTACATTACATACTTATCCAATTATTTAATAACATGAACTTTAAAGTCTGTATGTTAGATGGTTTTTTTGGATAATAAGTAAAAGAATTTGATATAGCCACTCTAGAGTACACCAAAATATTCCTAATTAAACCTCCTTACCCATTCACTTCATTATCTCCTGAAGAGAAAAAACAAATTGGCTGGATTAAAAAGCACTGAGAGTATCGAAAGAGTGAGGGCTTTGTTGATTATAGAGAGTTTCACAAAATTATCAAGACATATTTGAAAGATAAAAAGATTTTTTTAAAAGGATGTGAAAAAATTAAATGGGTACAAGATATTTGTGATGAAATTTTTCATAGATATAAGTTGCTTAGGAGCTCCCAATTTAAATACTCTTTGAGAACTTTATTGTAAAGACACTTTACTATATAACTGTTTTACTCATAAGAAAATATGTGCCTTAAAAATGTTTTATGTATTAAGAAATGGTCTTTTGAAAACAAAGTGATTGTTTGATTTTCAATAAAATATATGTAAATAAACATTTCATCTCTTAATTTAAACTACCTTTGTGTTCGAAAAGAAGAAAAAAAATAGTTTCAGACCAGCAACGCTTAGATTATTAAAGTAACTGGGTTTTATGTACCACCTTGCATTTTAACGAAGAAGTAGATTATTAGCCTTCATAATTTGTTGTTATGCTACTGAACTAGTTGTATTGGAGAATCCGAATGAAACGGTATTAGTAATGGAGCAAAGATAAAAAAAGGCAGATCGAGAATTAGACTAAAATTAGACCTCTACTGGAGAGCATTGGGGCCTTCAGCGACATGTAGCTCGAGGGAAGCGAGAGCAAGTGACGCAGAAGACCCAATTCTCACCACTCACATAGTAGAAAAGAATTTGCCATAATCCCAAGATATAGCACGCGGCATGGCCAATCATAGTTTGAGAGATTCCACACCTTTGATCCTGTTTCTTTAATTTGTTTGTAATTGGTCAAGTTATTTTACATCAGTGGTAAGTACATACGAGACCTTTATAGTTATACCATTATCTGTCGGAGGCTATGAAATCTTTCTGACATTTCCCATAGTTGCGACGTCCACGTTGAGATACGATTGTCGATTCTTCTTGTAAAATCTATTTTTGAATCGATTCAAATCTATGGCAAAAGAATAGCTTCTATAAACTGAGTTTTAGGTCAAATTTATTGATACATTTCACGGGAAAGAAGAGCAGCATTTTCTTTTGTATGCATAATAATGGTGATGCCTGTAATGTGAAACGGTTTAATTCTTACGTTTCTTAAATCGATTCTGTGTTCCTTCCTACTTGATCTAAAAGATCGATTAGCTTACTTTAAAATAATCGTATTACTATTAATAATACTCAAATAAATAAGGACCACGCTCTCACAGAATACCAGCGTAAAATGGTAGTTTAATGCTGCTGTGTTTCGTATGGTGAGTGTAGAGAACTGGAGACCTTTTTACTGGAAACGAGGCATTCCATCTTAGTCCTTAGGGGTAACAGCGCATCTGCATTTTGATTCGTAATCGAGGATAGATGTAGATGTCTACGGACCACTGCAACCACTTACCATCAGGTGGACTGTGTGCTCGTTTGTCACCCTATCCTATTAAAAAATATCAGATATGTGGCGATGGATTTATTTACTCTGTACTGTATAGGGCACCACAGATTAAATAGTGCCAACTACACGCCAATTTGATTAGATTAATTTATGTAAATTATATTAATGTGACTAAAATATTGATTAAAAGGAAAGAAGAAGAAAGGATGTCAAAATAAGGGAAAGGCGGGAAAACATTCTTGCTAACAGGTTGTTAATGAAACGAAGAATATTATTTAGGTTCTCTTTATTGACAATAACTTTAATTCTAACATTAACTATAGATATTTAATACAATTGATCAGATCACATTGAATTGACTTAGCTTAAAATTGACGAACCTTTAATCTATAATTGCTATAATTATTTTATAAAATTTGGAATGATGTTTATACATATAACTAAAATTATTTAAATATAACATAAACGAAATGTATAAATTACCTAAAGGAACTGCATTTCGTGCAATTAAATAAAATTAACATTTCCGAAAGCAAATATGTTTGGCGTTTATATTGCTATTATTTTAGATTAGGCGTCAAAACCATTGTAAGAAGAACTAAGCCAAAATGACATTAAATCGTACATATTTTAGTTTTCTTTTAGATACAAATAGGGCAAAATTAGGTATATTTATATGTTTGATCTATTGTATAAATTTAAACTTCATATTGTCATAAACACTGTTTAAAAAACCACAAACTTAATTTACGCAGGTACCAAAGTACATAAATATCTACAATGCTTATATAATTTAAAAATAACGTAAACAAAACATATTACACGTCCGTTAAATTCATTGGTATATATTTTTATTTCGATTCTATGTTATATTAATTAATTCCTAATTTTCAGTTACTAAGCCTCGTACTGGTGCTTGTGTGTGCACTAAACAGTTATCAATATTTTAATTGTTATAAAGTAAAACGCTATATTTCTGGAGTATTCTCTTCCTCTCAGATATTCCATTTTAGATGTTGGAAGTGCTTCATGATTCATTCATACACAATAAATTCTACTGGTAACTTATTGCAGATGAAACAATCTGTAAAAAAAATTTTTTGTTAAATTATTTGATCTGCATATTATTTCTTTTGTATGGGATGTATGATAGGGTCATCACCATTGATAGGGTCATCATCATCAGCCTCTAAAACGTCCATTGCTGGACACAAGACTCTTCTACTGTGGGAATGATTTATCATATTCGCCACTATTGGGCTTTCTAGTCCATATATTTCGTGATATTAAAGGTGGTCACCGTTGTCAGTCCGGATATTTTACATCAGACAAACAAAAATCTATGATTTGCTAGAGGTGGAAGGTAAATATAAAATCGCAGTCGATAAAAAAAATACAAACAAATCAAAGTAATTGAATAAAATTACTTTGATGAAAAACACTGATGATGATTTTATTTCATCGCGGTTAATTTAACTTATTTTTGACTACTGACGGTTTAAGTTAAATAAAACGCGATAAAATCCGTAAATGTCTTATAATCAAGTAAAATATAAGAAATTATTAAATCAAAGTAAGACAATTATCTTTGCATACCGATCTAAACTTCAAACGACGATAGCACTAAAAATAAATATTTGTGGGCCCAATTAGTTACCTAATGGAAACTTTATAGTTAGAGCAGATAGAATTGCCGCAACACCTTTCAAACGTAAACTTTTTTACCATACAGTCATACTTACATTTGCTTGCTTTACAGCTCTTTGATATAAACTCTGGCTTCGAGGTGGGGTGAGGGTGGGTGAGGCGCGTAAGGAAGCTCTTCATAAAATATACCGTATATATTCCTGTAAAAAAAGTAAATAAATAGTCCAAATATTAGATAATTTAATATTAATTTCAGAATAGTATTTTCTTAAAATATGATAGTAACATAGATAAGGCCTGATTTTTCAATCGTTAGATAAAATTTCTCTATTTGTTTATGTTGTATTTTATGCTATGAATCTTCAATCGACAATGTTGGTATTGTTGACCGAAGCTATGAATTAACCTTTAAGTATATGCTTGAACTGAAGTGGTGGTGTAAGAATATCCACCCCATATCATCCCGTGGGTGTCGTACGTTATTAGCCCCTCCCATCTACCGTAGAACGCCACGTAGAAGTTTTGCCGATCCCTCCCTCTGACAAAAATATATTGTGTTACGTAACTTTCAATCATTATTCACGTATTTTTTGTTTAGGGTAACGTTTTTTAAATGCGTTAAAAAGCATTAAATAAATCTCCTCTTTTTAAAGGCATACGAGGTTTTATTTTAATTTGTTATAAAATAAAACCTAATAACTTAACCTACATCGATTATTTATAACTAATAATAATAATCGATCACCAAACGTACATTGAGGAGTTTCAATGCCTTACATACTGTGATTGCAGCAGGAAGGTGGGGAAACAAAAGACTGAGAGCGGAAGGGATACTAGAGCGCTCGACGTTCTGCTCCGCAGGGTTGCCAGAAATGTTCTGAAGAAAACCGTGTGACCTTACGGAAAAATCGTGAACTAATAAAAAAAATCACTCAATATATTCGAATTCAAATACTTATCGTTATTTTTTGTAGCTTATTAGAAAATATTTTCTATAGAATAGGGGTGACAAACGAGCACACAGTCTACCTGATGGTAAGTAGATGCTGTGGCCCATAGACATCTACATTTATCTGCAATTAAGAATCAAAATGAAGATGCGTTGCCACCCCTGAGGACTGAGATGGAATGCCTCGTTTCCAGTAAAAGGGGTCTCCGGTTTTCTATACTCAATATACGACACACAGCACCATTAAGCTGCTATTTTACGCTGGTATTCTGTGTCCTATCCCGGTCGAGCCGACCTATTCGTGCTGCAACCACAATATATATGCAGCATGGCTCTACCACATAAAACGATAAATATATTACAAGAAATAAAGTTCGATAAATTAAAACGTTATTATGATGTTTTGCAGACATAAATAACATAATATATAAAGTATTTATTAATTAAAAATGTAAATATGTGAATAGTTGCTCTACGTTTCCTTCTTCTTCTACAGTATTTAAAACTCTTTTATCATATATTGTAGAATAAAAATTAAGTATATCATCAGCAGGTTCATATACCGTACATCACACTCCATCCTCGTCTAAACTTATCTTTATTCGTAATATTGATGATACTAAAGGTAGATTCATACGACTACGAAGCTTAGTTTTAGTAACTATTACTCTTGAAAACACCCTGCTGCGCTGATAGGCTGTATGTTGTCAGTGCTAGTGATGCTAGATCTTTGAAAATAAAATTCCCTTCAGAGTCGGTCAACTTCATCACTTTTGACCAAAATATTGGACCCTGAGAAAGAATTGATTCATCGAATATAGATTAAAATACAAAATCGCCCAATTTGCGAAAAATCGCCCAATAGACATTCAGGCGGAAGGTATATTCTAAAATCTCCCAATTTGTGGGAAACCGCCCAATCTGGCAACCCTGCTGTTCTGACGCACCCTGCTGTTTCTGTGCCGAATGGCACACGTTATTAGCTGATGCGATACTTTCAATACACACGTGAAAATAATATGTGTGTGATCTAGTGTCGCACCAATCCTCCCCCCATGTTACCACACATAGCATGCGAGCATACCCCTCAACCCTTGAAAAGTTAGTTACGTGGTATATGGATAGCCCCATAGGGGGAGTTGTTAAACTAGAAAATAAAACAAATGCTGATGCCAACCCGCCTGCCTAGCGTAGTTACTGCTTAGACTACTTTAAGTAGACTTACTTTAACTAGACCGATGTTCACCAGGGGCATTGATAGGCGATGTGATGAAGGAATGTGTTTCGTGAAAGAATATGGGGAGATCTCCCGCCGGGCAACGTGTTCTGCCCGGGGAGCGGCCAACGTTCCGCATGATAATTCGGAGCTATTCTGTATGTATACTGTTTTACTTCGGAACTTTGATAGCGCGATTTAGGATTTGATGTTTTTCGCTTGTGGCGCGACAACAGCGCCACCACAAATGAATGATGAATGACGATTGCAAAATCAGCCTTGAATACAATGATCAGCCACTCTATTTTGTTGCTTATTAGTCTTTTTTGGGGATATCAAATAGCTTACTTGTAGTTGAGACGCTCCGCTGCGGCCGCTGAGAACGCTGAAGTGGTATCCATACGCATAGCGCCAGCGCCGACTTCTCTTGCTATTCGTCTGGAAAGGAAAACAATACTTCAATACGATATGACACGAACATTAATAACATAGTTGAGTATAAAAGAATAGCCCCTTTTATATCACTGAAAGGGTTTTGAAGCAAGATAGAGTTCCCCATCAACAACATCATCATCATTATCATTACATCACTCCATAAGTTAACTGCTGAATATATCCCTTCCCCAAGGAATCCGGAGCCTCCTGCAAATATCGACATCCTACATTTCTTAACAGGTCGTCACTCCTTCTAGTGAAAGTTTTTTTTTTATAAAATAAGTGTGACAAGCGAGCACACAGTCCACCTGATGGTCAGTGGATGCTATGACCCATAAACATCTACATCTATCCTAGATTAAGAATCAAAATGCAGACGCGTTGTCAACCCTGAGGACTAAGCTGAAATGTCTCGTTTCCAGTAAAAATGTATCCGGTTCTCTACACTCACCATACGATACACATCATTGAGCTGCTTTTTGACGCTGGTATTCTGTGAGAGCGTGTTCCTTCCCCGGTCAAGCTGACCTATTCGTGCTGCAACCATAATATAGCTGCAGCCTGGCTCTACCACGTACATAAGTCATAGTCAGTTACGCTTAGTTTACTGAGCCTTTTGACTTTAACCAGATATAATAAATATTTTTGTTTTCTTAGAATTGCAGGTCTCCATACAATATTTTCCCCTTACAGACCAGCATGATGTGATAAATTTATACTTAGTTCACTTAGTTTCAACATCTAACTTTCATCAATATATTTGTTCGAAATAGACTAAGTCTATGACGACTCCGCTCTATAAGACTTAACATGATAAATGTCGTTCTCAAAAATTTTTTGTGTTGGTTCGAAGTATTCAGCGACACAGAGTACATTTATTCATATTGAAAGTCAGTGCACTAATTGCTAAACAGTAGAAATTGATAATATTAAGGACTAACGGACTTTGAATTTTGACAGTTATACAACTCCGTTTTACTTTTCTTAATAATGATTTTTTATGTTTATGCAATTATAACATTCAATATACTACCAAACCAATATAATACCAAAACGTGGTCCACTGCTTTTTTATAGAATAAGGGTGACAAACGAGCACACAGTCCACCTGATGGTGAGTGGATGCTGTGGCCATAGACATCTACATTTATCCTCGATCAAGAATCAAAACGCAGATGCGTTGTCACCCGTGAGGACTAAGATGGAATGTCTCGTTTCCAGTAAAAAAGGGTATCCGGATCTCTACATTCATCATAAGAAACACAGCAGTATAAAGCTGCTATTTTACGCTGGTATTCCGTGAGAGCGTGGTCTTTCCCCGGTTGAGCCGACCCATTCGTGCTGCAACCATAATTTAGCTGCGGCATGGATCTACCAGTATAAACGATTACTCATACTATTATTGTTATTTGCTTATTTACATCCCTTCATTGCCCTTAATTACTTAGGTCGCTCGCTAAAGCGTGTGACTAAGAAATTCGCATAAACTAATTGACAAATAAACGTTGTGAGATATGTCAAAACAGGACAATTACGTTGTGCAGTGTCATATGTCTGTCTGTTCGCATAATGTGACAAAACAATTGCGTAACGCACGCGGTTTTATTAAGATCGTATTATGTTGTCAGCGAGTGTCCAAGAAGTCATTGTGTTAATTACATCAGTGATTATTGAACGGCGTATGTTAATTAAAGTCATTTATAATTGCAAAGATGTGAAAGATAGTGTTGATATTGATTATAATTGATTTTCGTAATAGCCGCGGTAGCTAAGATAAGCGCTCAATGTAAATTTCACAGTACACAAGAATCTTAGGTTCGATGCACTAATGAAATTGTTTACTTAATTGTAATTTTAAGTGGCGACGTCGCAACGTACTTGACGGTGAAGGAAATCATCATGCAGAAAGGTGTATTGTCTAAGAAATTAAAAAAAATCGCACACATGGCCAGCGCGGTGGACACCTCCTTGTCCTAAAACCCACTCAGATTTGGAGAAAGCCTGTGCCCAGGAGGATGTATAATGTATATATAGGCTATACTTTTTAATTTGACTTTGCCCTGCTCTTGGGTATTTAGGCTGTAAATATATTATTATCTATTCGTAATTTTCGAGGTAATCATTTACGAAGTTTACAACGCGTTTTCTATTAATCGATATGCATTCGTGTCATGTCTTTTTTTATAGGATAGGGGGCAAACGAGCATACGGCTCACCTGATGGTATGTACCGCCGACCATGAATTTTTGGGTTTTTTTGGGCGGTTTTTGTGTTCACCTTTGGGTTTCCGAAATCGGTGGGGCCCTCCGAGGAAGATGGTTTGGAGTTTGTCGCGATTTGCGATGGTAAATTGTGCGGCTAGTCTGTCCGAACAATTTCTCAGAGCACTCCCCGTGGTAAATGTGTGTGGTCACCTTTGTCACTTTCGTTTTAATTGATACGATTCCGTTCAATTAATCGACCAAGTTTGTGATTCATTGCTTGTCTGTTTATTAACACGCTTTCATAGGCGGCGCAAGGCGCGACGTGGGCAACCGCCTACGGCCTCGCGGCCCAAAGGGCCTCGCACCCCGAAAGATGAAAGAATTTAATTGCAGAAAAATATTAAGCTAGGACGACGAAAATTCAAGACATCTATAATATACTCTTGTCGGTATTATCTGCAACTAACACGCATACCAGCAGCCAGCAGTACATCCTAAATTTTTAGTTTAGTTTGAAATTTGGTATATTAATATTCGTGCTATGGTAGCACAGCGGCTAAGCAACCCGGGTTCGACCCCGCCGGCAACAATGAAATTGTTAATTGCAATTTTAAGTGCTAATTTTCTACGTGCTCGGCAGTGAAGAAAAACATCGTGAAGGACGGCGAAAAAAACATCATGAGGAATCCTGCATGTCTGAGAAATAAGAACAAAAAAATTTCAAAGACAAGTGAAGTTCGCCACCACGCCACGCATTATGGGCAGCGCGGCGGACATTTCCTTGCCCTAAAAACCCTCTCAGAAATGAGAGGAGGCCTGTGCCCAGCTATTGGACGTCTTGTGAGTCACACGTGTATAACTGTCTAATCTAGCACGGAATTTCTCATTCCATTTGCTTCACGCTAAGTTCACAAGTCTCAAAGATTGCTGAGTCAATCAGATTTTCGTGGGTTACTATGAAGTGGTAACCATGTTTTGTGACAAAAATTTATTAGAATCAAACAGCTCCTCTTATTTAGGATGAGTTCAATCCATTAGTTGCTTAAAAACTATTAATAAATTTGAAGTGGTTGTTGACTATCTAAGATGAAGACTATTAGTGTAGGCGACATTGCTGGCGACTAGATAAACAATATTCTGATCAAGTCCCGGACTCTCACAGAATACGAGTGAGTGTAGAGAACCGGCGACCCGTTTTACTGCAATCGAGGCACCTATAAAATAAATAAATAAATAAAATAATTTATTTTTCTTCGCAAAAATTAAATGAATGACATAGTTGACTGGGATCTCCATTTAAGCAAGTAATGCCTGTGTTTGGAAATCCCGCTCTTCCTTATCTAAACATACATTTTTTAATTTAAAAAACCAAAAATAACAAAAACAAATTACTCGAATTTAACAACCAAAATTTACAAAAATTACAAAAGTGTGTATGTGTGCATGCGTGCGTACGAGCGTGCGCGCATGTGTGAGTGTGTGTGTGTGTGTGTGTGTGTGTGTGTGTGTGTTTTATGAAAAATCGTTTTGTTAAATTATATTGTACATAGAAGTGAATTATGAAATGCGGTACAGCAGAAATTCGGTTTCTTCATAAGTTTTCGACTGCACCCACTTAAGTATCAGGTTTTTACACTCCCTGTACGTTTTGTTGTATATGTTCAATTCTCTATTTATTTTATTGTATAGGAATGCAGAACATGAGCTAAATTGCCTACTAGCAAAAACTGTTTTGGTACCAGAAGGCTTAACCACAATATCTTTTCGCCGCTTTTTCAAGATGCATGGGTCAAAGGACAGGGATTTGTGTGCTTTGAGGATTGTCATAGTAACATATAATTGTCTAACTGAGAGTAAACTACTTATTCTATACAGTTGTTCAGTGGAAAAACGTCTTTTTTTAAAATGCATGACCTTAATAAGGGTTCGTTGGGCTCTTTCCAAGTTAAGAAATTTGGTCTTTGTAGCTCCACCCCACACCGAAATGCAATATGTTATGATAGATTGTGCAAGGGACATGTATATTTGGTTAAGAAGATATCTGGGAGAGTCCGATTGCTTAGTACTATCAGGTATTACGTGTCTTAGAGTTTTGAAAATCCAAATCAATTTTCGGATCCTATTAATGACATGTTCAAGGTGTGGGTACCACGACAGCCTCTGATCTATAACGACGCCCAGATATTTAGTGTGAGAGACTTTTTCAATTGATGGGCAGTCACAAGCTTTGTTTTTAGCATCCTCAAAACACATATGAATTTTAAGGCAAAAATCATTCTGTGGCTGCAAGTTGTTGGTAATGCTAAAGCAATTAAAATTTGTCTTAGCTGTATTCAAAGTGAGGAGATTTTGTTGCAACCATAGAGCTACTCGAGCTAGCCCACTTTCAGCACTAGTCTTGACAGCCTCCCAAGATTCATCAGCAAAAACCAAAGCCGTGTCATCGGCGTACGACAGGATTTTGGCATTTGGTATGGTCATACTGCACAGATCATTGACATAAATTAGAAATAAGGTCGGGCCCAGAACGTTACCCTGTGGAACGCCATATGATGACACCACCGCTTCCCCACTAATGAACCCAGGAAGCTTAACCTTCTGTTTTCTCTCCGATAGGTAGTTTTTGAAAAGAGCAAGCGGAGTCCCTCTTATTCCAATTTTTTCAAGCTTGTGCACAAGGTTAGGGACAGAGACGGTGTCGAATGCTTTCTTCAGATCAAGGAAGACCGACAAAAATTTTTTGCCGTGGTCGAGTTGTTCTGTTACAAATGTGCTTAATTCAATAATTGCATCTTCTGT